ACACACACACACACACAACACACAACGCACACAACAACACAACACATCACAAACACACACAACACACACACACAAACACACACAACCAACACAACGCAACAAACACAAACACACACAGCACACACAACACAACAAAAACACACAAACACACACAACCACACACAAACACACAACACACACAACACACAACACAAACACAACACACACAAACACCACACAACACACACATAACACACACAACACACACAACACACACATAACACACACAACACGCACAACACACACCACACACAACACACAACACACACAACACACACACAACACACACAACACACACAACACACACAACACACACAACACACACAACACGCACAACACACAACACACACCACAAACAGCACACACAACACACACAACACACAACACACACACACACCACACACAACACACACAACACACACAACACACAACACACACAACACACACAAAACACACAACACACAACACACAACACACAACACACACACACACACACCGACACACCGACACACAGACACACCGACACACAGACACACAGACACACAGACACAGACACAACGACAGACACACAGACACACGGACACACGGACACAGAGAAACACAGACACAGAGACACACAGACAAACCGACACACAGACACACAGACAAATAGACACACATACACACACAGACACACAGACACACATACGCACATACGCACGTACACACATACACATACGCACATACACATACTACGCATACGCATATACGCGTACACATACACACTGGGGGCTATTGGGGCGCACCTGTATCGGGGAAGGGCGTCTCCCTTGTCGTACGTCCCCGAGTTGGGGCCCGAATGTTTTGTCCAGTTCGAAGTTTCACAACCTCGGGGATTAGGGTCGCCGTGCACCCCATTGGAGGGAGGGATGGAGGCACCCGTGCGAGCGGAGCACCGACTCGTGTGAGTTCGCCCGAGGGCGTTTCGGAGTGCATCGTAGCTGAAGCCGACGCCGACGCTGAAGTGCACACCCTGCAGGCTCGTGCAGCAGCACATCGCTGAGCGGTGAGAGGAGGACGGGGAGGAGGACCAGGTAGGAAAGAAGCAAGAGGGAGAGTGGGAGGGGGCGAATAGCAAGAGGACCGGGGAGCTGAAGTCTTCTCCGTCCCTCCCGCTCGGCAGGTCAGGGTGTACTTCGACATGGCCTCGCCGGGGTCGCCAGGAATGAACAGCATCGTGTCTGAGTCCATGAGCGGGCAGTTGGAATTCGACACGCTCTGGGAGAGCGCGTGGTGGAGGGTCTCCCTTCCCTCCCACTTCTGCCAGCCTCCACCTCCTACTAGTACCTCATTCTCTCTCAGCCTCCCTGCTTCTCCTCCCCCTCCTCTTCCTCCTCCTCCTTCTCCTCTCTCTCCCCTCGTCCCTCTTCTTCCTCCTCATCCCCCTCCTCTCTTCATCCTGCCTTCCCCTCGTCCTCGTCCTCTTCCTTATCTCTCCTCCCCCCTCTTCTCAGCCTTTTGCTTTGTGCGGTCATCAGGCAATGGTCTGTTGAGTCTGGGCGCGCTTGGTGATACAGAGCGTCGCGCACGAGCTAGGTTCGAATGCCGCAGCGCAAGGAAGCGCAGTGGAAAAAGAGGAGGCACGTGATAGAAGCCCAGGGCGCCTTCTTCGAACTCTCTTGCCTCCTGCCCCTATCTGGCATTCATGGTTTTTCAGTCTCATGAGGGCCTGGGGAGGAGGGAGAATCGGGGGATCGAAGAGCCCCTAGCACCTCCTTCAACTCCTGGAATCTTTTTTTCGTTTCCTAAAACTGACAGAACCTTCAAGCGATGGATAATGAGGAGGAAGCGCGATGACGAGAAGGACGAGGACGAGGACGAGGGCGACGACGACGACGACGAGGGGGCTGGTCAGGACGCCTGGCTGGCTTACCACAAGCGCACGCCTGGCCTGGACAGGCTTGTGAAGAAGTCCGACCTCGCCGTGTTGTCCGACTGCGAGTTCAAGGACTGGGGGGGGGGAAGTCCCAGGCCACTGACGATCTCAGGGACTTGGGGCGGCCGAAGGCAGATGCGGTGGCCAGGCTCCGGGACCTGCTTGGGCCTCTCTGGGCCTCCTGGGGCGCCCCTGTGCGCCAGAGCGCACCCCCCCCTATGACAGGTCTGGGGGCGGATCTGGATGGAAGCCAGGGCCCCCAGCCTCTTGGCGACTTGAAGCATCGCGCCCGAGGCGCTTCGTTCTTCTGGCGTCTGGGGGGCGTTCCCGCCGTCTCAGGGCCATCAATTCAGTGGAAGCCCATGCCAAGACACCCTCTGCTTGCCTTTAGGATGCCCTGGGTTTCTAGCGTTCCTATGGGTTTGCTACGATGCAAGCGTGACGCTCCCGCACTAAAGATCAATGGGCGTACTGGGGTCTCAGGGTTGGGTCTCTTGTGGTCGAGCTCCTGCGGCAGAACGACTCAGGCTGAAGCGTCGGCCTCAGGGAAGTGGCCGAGAGGTCCTGGGGGCCAGCGAGCTGAAAGAGGTCGAGTCGTCGGGAGGCTGGTTCATGGGAGGGCCACGTCGGGCCCAGCTCGCCCACTCACCGCCGATGTGGGGCGTGGGCGCGTGGGCGCCATCGCGCCCAGGGGCCTGCCGTTCCGTCACAGCGGGCGCACGGACCGGGAAGCGGGTCTGCCGGCAGGTGCCCCACGGATGTCGTCTCCCCCGATGGACCCCGGGGGGCCCGGTGGGGCAGCCGACGAATCTTCGGTGGGGAGCCCAGGTGTGTAGTCGCGCGTGCCTGCCGTGCCGGGAACGCATCGTCGATGCAGCGTCGATTCCAGCGCGAGCAGTGGCGGCCCGCGTGCGCGGGCCGGGCCCTGTGCGCCCCCTGAGCGCCGCGCACCAGAGGCCATTCCGTGAGGGGGAGGGGGCACCCGTGCGAGCGGAACGCCAGCTCGGGTGAGCTGGCACATAGGCGCTTCACGCTGAAGCCGAAGCCACAATTGCGGTGCACAGAAAAATAGAAAGGCCTCCGCCACAATACATATGCACAGACGCCCTCCCATGGATTGCTCCTGGGCCTCAGGGGAGGGAGGCGGTGCACAGTCACCGTTGAGAGCCAGCGACTCTACACACCGCTACACCCCTGGAGGTACATGCACAGTTTGTCGGAGCGCTTCTGCGTACATATTTTCGTGGCGGAGGGCCCACCCTGCGGGTGTGGTCGACATCACAGCGTCGAGCAGTGCTGCAGCCTCACCTCAGCGAAGGGTCTCTCGTGACTGGTGGCCGACAGGGGCACAGGGAGGGTGGCACCGTTTTCCTGCACGGCCCCCGCGGCCGCACAGCTCTCGGGCGCTGGCGACCAGACGGGGCCGCCTGCTGCCCGACCTGGCCCGATTCGGCCTGCCGCCTGGGGCCGCGATTCCGATCCGACCCGATCGGCTTGGGCCGGCCGTCAGCGCCGCGCGCGGCGGTGCGAGTTCGGTTCGCTTCGGGACGCCGCCCTGGGCCGGCCCCGGGGCACGCCGCAGCACGCGAGGATCGGACATCCCTCGCTCCCTCCCCGAGATCCGACGTGGCGAACCGCCTGGGCACTGCTCGGACGCGTGCTGCTCTTCGGCGAGGGCCATCGAGGAGCACCCTGGATCACCGTGGGGAAACCCCACGCGCGGAATCGAACAGTGCACGGGAGCTGGACGTCCGAGCGATGGCCAGCCCCTCCCCGAGACCCGACGCAGCGAACACACCTGCGACACCTCGGCGGCGAGCCCCTCGCGGGGCAGCGAGAGGCGGGGGCGGGCCCCCTCTCGGGAGGCGGCGGGGCTCCTCGGCGGCCCCCGCGCCCTCTCCGAGGAGCCCCCCCGAGGCCTCGGGGAGAGCTCCTCGGAGAGAGAGCGCCTCGGAGGGCCGCGGGCCTCCCGAGCCCTCCCGAGCCCGAGCCCGCCGGGGCTCGCCGCGGGGCCTCGTGAGCACATGAGCACGCCGGAGGCCCTTCGGCCCCCTTCGGCCCTGCGGGCCACTCGTGCCCCGCGGCAGTTCCCCTGGGCGGGGCCGAGCAGCGAGGCTCCCCGACGGGCCGAGGGGCCGCGCCCGCCTCCCCTGGCGCGAGAGGCCCCCCTCCTACTCCTCCCTCCCCCGCCTCCCTCCTCCCTGCCACCCCTCCTCCTTTCCCTCCAGCCTCCCTCTCCTCCTCCTCCTCCTCCTCCTCCTTCTCCTCCTCCTCCCTCACCCTCCTCCTCTCCTCCCTCCTCCTACTCTCCTTCCTCCTCCCCTCTCCTCCCTCCTCCCTCCTCCTCCCTCCTCCCTCCTCCTCCCTCCTCCTTCCTCCTGCTCCTCCTGCCAGCGTTCCGAGGCTGCCGGTGCAGCCCCTTCCCCCGTCGGCCCGTCCTCGGCCGCTCTCGCGGCCCCCCCCCCCCCACCCCCTCCTCTGCAGAGTGCCGACCTGGCTCTCCAAGGCCCTCGCCTCCTTCCTCGTGCGCCCCCACTGCACGGGTTGACTCCAGATGGGGTCGGAGGATCGCGCCGCATCGTCGATGCATCGTCGCTGCATCGCCGATGCATCGCCGACGTCGGCGTGGAGAAAATGGGGCCCCTCAACGAGCCGCATCGCCGATGCAGCGGCGAGCGGCGCGATCCTCGACCCCATCCACTCGGACCCCATCAGGAGGCATAGACAGGGACAGCCGTCAAACGTCGAGGCCCGGTCCCCGACGGGGTCCCTCAAGGGGATCCGTTGCCCTGGTGCGAGTGCGCGCGGCACGCCGAGATTGTGACAGGCAAGAGCGCTGCATAGAATGCCGTATTGCATTCTTCTACCATCCTGACCCTCCCTCTGTCCTCGAGTGCTCTCTGATATTCAAGATATTCACACGGTTATTCACACGGTTGTCCCCTCCAACGGCGCCAAAGAAGTCCATCTTTTTATTTTTTCCCTATTTATTCTATTTCCGTCATATTTCTTTTTTTTCTCCTTCTTTCTTTTTTTTGTTTTTCTCTTCGGTTCTTTTCTTTTTTCAGTGGGAAATCACCCTTCTTGTTTTTTTTTTTTTTTTTTTTTTTTTTTTTTTTTTTTTTTTTTTTTTTTTTTCTGTTTCTTTTTGTTTTTTCTCTCCTTTCCTTTGTTTTGTCTTCTTTTTTTTTCTCTCTTTTTTTTTTTCTTCCTAATTTTTTTTTTTTTTTTTTTTTTGTTTTTGTTTTTTTTTTTTTTTTTTTTTCTTTTTTGTTTTTGTCTTTTTCATTTTTTTGTAGGGGCCTGTGAAGAGGGATCTTGGAGGGAGGGTGTATTTCAACATCGTTGATGAGTCTTGGGCTTGCACTTGTCCTCCTCCTCCTCCTCCTCCTCCTGCTCCTCCTCCCCCCCCTTCCCTCTCCCTCTTCCTCCTCCCTCTCCCCCCCTCCTCTGTCCTCCTCCTCCCCCCTCCTCCTCCAAATCCTTTCCCTTATAAATGACTCCTCCTTGTCGCACTTCTGGACGTGTCGGTAGGGCGGGCCAGGCGTTTCGCCCGCGAGGATAATGGCAGCAGCTTTTCAAGGATGGAGGGCGGCCCGTTTTTTAAGATGTGGCTGGTGCATTAGCGCCGCGCGCGTTGGCCTTAAGACGAGGATTGGCGCGGTTTCGGGGATCGAGGGCGACTTCTTTTCAAATCGTGTCTCTCGTCTCGGCGCTGCGCGTTTGAAGCAGGCATCAGTTTCAGGGATCGAGGGCGATTCCTTTTCAAATCGCGTCTCTCGTCTCAGCGCTGCGCGCATTCGTTGCACATCACTTCAGCATGCAGCAGCTTCAAGGACCCGGAGGGTCGGATTCCCAGGAATGGTGTTCTGGCGCTGGCGCGGCTTAGGACTGGCAGGACGCAACAGTCACGTTGACTTGCGGTGTTGAAGTCCTAGGAGTGGTGTTCAGGCACGGTTCAGGGTTTTCAGGACGCCACAGTCTCGTGACGTGGGTTCGCGGCGTTGAAATCCCAGTAGTTGTGTTTGGGCACGAGGATTCTGAGACGGTTGTCTTTCAATGAGGCACTTCCCGCAGTGAGAGTTTATTCTTGTAGGGACTTATGAACAACGGGAATTTGGAGGGAGGGTTTATTGCAACAACGTCGATGCACCTTGGGGTTACACTGGTCCCACCCCATCGTCCCCTCCTCCCTCTTCCTCTCCTCGTCATCCTCCCGCCTCCCTCCTCCTCCCTCCTCCTCCTCCTTCTCTCCTTCTCCTCCTCCTCCTCCTCCTCCTCCTCCTCCTCTTTCCGAAGGGGGTCGTGCTTCCTCCTCGTCCTCCCTTTGCCCTCCTCCTCTTCCTCTCCCTCGTTTCCCCCCTCCTCATCACAAGTCCGCCCCGGGGCCAGGTCACGCACACCCTGGACCAGGAGGAGCTCAAGTCAGGACACCGTCGCGGCCGAGTCGTCGCTGTCGCTGCCGCGGCCGTCGCCGCCGCTGGATGACAGTGGTTTGGAACGTGTTTTTTGGTTCTGCTATAGTTGTTCTGAGTACCCTGGGATCCTGGTGTCGCAATGTTTGCGTACCGGACGTCTTCGCCCGCTTTCGGGCCCCGCGACACTCACACATCGATCCAGCTTGGATTGCGGCAGAAATCTGGTCTTTAGGGCTTCAGTCGTGACTTTTCACACTGTTGCACTGTTGTGCAACGTTGGGCCTCAGGGTGTGCAGATGCACCAACTCAAATTCAGATCCACTCATGTTCATATCCGCTCATCTCCAGACCTGGTCGTGCTCATCTTCGTTCGTGGTCAGACCACCCATGCCCAGACCCACTCATGTTTAGACTCGCTCGCCCTCAGAGCCACTCGTGCCCTGGCCGCTCTACTCAAGCGGACTTTCACTCGTATGCGCTCACACTCAGACCCTTCGTGCTTGGACTCGCACATTCTCATATTTCACACTCTCAGACCAAATCGCATTCATGCTCCCATGAACTATGAAGCAAACGTTTCACTTGGACCTCCCAACGGCTGTGGTGTTAGCACGGGCCAGTTCGCGCCTCCATTTTCGTAGGTTCAGGAGCAGAGTTGCCGTTTTGGTAGGGCAGGCGTTCTTTTGAAAGAGCCCCTACCTCAGGTGCCTGGACCTCTCAGGTAGAAAGGTCGTGCTGGCTGGGTAGACGGTAGACGTGTTGCTTTTCAAAGTCCCAAACTCATCGCGATGTCGCACCAATGGCCCGTTCGAGCCCATAAGATCTGGACTCTCAGGTAGAATATCCTTCTTGGCGGGGTAGAAGTGTTTTTTTCGAAAGCTCCGAGATCATCGCGATCTCGCACTCGTGGGATTTAGCCTCCCAAGGGGGAGCCGACCAGGGCGTTATCATGGGCCTGTTGGTACGCAGATTGTCGAGATCTTTCAGGTCGAATGGCAGTTATTGGCGGGGTAGATGTGTTTCTTTCCGAAGCCCCAAGGCCATCATAATGTCGCGCGCATGGCATTTTGGCCTCTCAATGGGGGAGCCGACAAGGGTGTTATCGCGGGCCCGTTCGGGCCCGGATTGTGGGGATGTCTAAGGTCGATGTGTTTCTTCGCAGTTCAGCGAGACCATCGCATCACAGCAGTCCTCGTATTCGGGCTTCGAGTGGAGCGCATTATAACGAGGTGTTGTTGACGCTTTGTGGATCCCCATCAGCCTATCCAGAAACGATCGCCAGGCGTCTTGCCCTGATCAGGGAAGTGTACGAGCATTCAGTTGAACAGACAAATGAGTTAGCCGTCTAGCCGGAGCTCGGTACCAGCCCGAGCATACCCAGGAGTGGAATTGCATTTGCCGTCGAAGGGGGAGGAGGAGGAAGAACAGATTCGTCAACGATGTTGGAATAAACCCTCCCTCCAAGCTCCCTCTTCATAGGCCACTACAAGGGTTCATTTCCACTGAGGGATCCGCCTCTTTGGAAGACAACCGTTTGAAAACCCTGAAGCGTGCCAAAACACCATTCTGGGGACTTCAACGAGACGAATCAACATGATTGCTGCGTCTTGGCGATTCGAAATCGCACCAGAACAGCATTCCTGGGACTTCAACACCGTGAATCAACGTAACTGTTGCGCCCTCACAGCCTTGTGTCGTTCCAGAACACCATTTCTGATACGTTAACCATGAGAACCAGTGTAACTCTTGCATTTTGTTAAAGTGAATGTGCGCGGCGCTGAGGCGATAGCCACATGTTGAAAACGACCCGCCCTCAATCCGTGAATAGTTTCTGAAAACGAATGTGCGCGGCGCGATGGCGATAGCCACATTTTGAAAACGACCCGTCCTCAATTCGCGAAACTCTTGCAATTATTGAATCGCTTCGCTCATTCCGCCGGCCCATATTGCCTCGCCGCTGTCGTTTGTTGGGGTGTTGCTGTCAATGCGGTGAGATTGGGCGGCTGCCATTTTTCGGAGGCGGTGGGTGGCGGGTCAGAGGCCTCACGGATGTTGGTTGGGCTCTCGTGGTTGGCCTCTCAGGGGCCTGTGGGAGGCAGTTTTGAGGGCTCTTGGGGGCCGTGTTGGGGCCTCTTGAGGCCTCTTGGGGGCTCTTGGGGGCCTCTTGGGGCTTTTTGGGGTGCCTCTTGGGGGCTCCTTGGGGCCTCTTGGGAGCCTCTTGGAGCCTCCTGGGGGCCTCTTGGGGCCGAAGGCTGGACTTTCCGGTTCCTTGTCCCCTTCTTGCGCCCCTCTTGGGGCCGTTTTGGGGTTCTCTTGGGCCGTCTTGGGCGCCTCTTGGGCTGTCTTGGGGGCATCTTGGGCCGTGCCCTCTTGGAGGCTTCGTGGGCCGTCTTGGGGCGGTCTTGGAAGCCTCTTGGGCCGTCTTGGAGCGCCGGTAAGCCGAAAAGGCGAGAGCGCCAAAAACCGGCAGAAACTTAAGGAAAATTGCAAATTTCTGCTTCTGTGGGCCCTCTTGGGAGGTCCCTTGGAGGCCTCGTGGAGCGTTGAAGGCGCTTTCTGCTGTCTGGAGGCAATCTTTGGCGTCTGGGATCGCTCTTGGACCCTCTCGGACCATGTTGAGCTTTCCTGGAGGCCACTTGAAGCGCTCCTGGAGCGCTCTTGGGAGCCTGCTGGGACCTGGCCGGGACCTGTCTGGGACCTGCCCGGGACCTGCCCGGGATCTTGCCTGGACTTTGTCGGGACTTGAGGGGGTATCTTTCGTCCAGGGACCCCCAGGGGCGGCCCCGCGCGCGCGAACCAGAAATATTGTTAGCCAGTTACCGGAGATCTTAGCACGCCCTTGGCTCGTTGGGCCAGAGAATGTAAAACGAATGTGCGCGGCGCTAAAGGCGAGAGCCACATTTTGAAAACCACCCGCCCTCCATCCGTGAAACTCTTGCAATCTTGTTGGAACCAATGTGCGCGGCGCTCAGGCGAGAGCCACATTTTGAAAACGGCCCGCCGTCAATCCGTGAAACTCTTTGCAAATGTTGTACAGCGAATGTGCGCGGCGCTAACGCGGAGCCACACTTTGAAATCGACCTACCCTCAGTCCGTGAAATCTTGGACTTTTTCGAACGAATGTGCGTGGCGCTAAGACGAGAGCCACATTTGGAAAACGACCCACCCTCCATCTGTGAAGCTATTGCCAATGCCTTAAGCTTCAGGTTCATGAGTGGTGAGGAAGTCTCAAGCGAAACGCCCGGCCCGCCATTCGACCGGCCTCGGGGTGCGACAGGGAATTGTTATTAAGAAAGAGCAGCAATGGAGGAGGAGAAGGAGGAGGAGGAGGAGGAGGAGGAGGACTAGGAGGAGGAGGAGGAGGAGGAGGAGGAGGAGGAGGAGGAGGAGGAGGAGGAGGAGGAGGCAGTAGAAGATTCAAGGAGTGAGGAGTCGGGGAGGCAGGAGAGGCGGAGGATGAGGAGAGAGGGAGGAGGACGGAGGGGGAGGGAGGAGAAGAGGGGAGGACGCTCGTTCGCTCGCGCGATGAGCCCGTGGGCGTTGGAGAGTTGCACGCTGCAGGCAGCCGCGTCGCGGAGGAAAAGATGAAGCAGATGAAGCAGCCAGACGACGGCTTCGTCAAGGTTAGATATCTCATCGACGAGGAGGGCAATGGGGTGGGCAGCCTGGGGAGCAGGGCGGGGTGGCCCCACAGAGCAGAGGGGGGCTAAGGACGGCTGGGGGGAACGGCACGACCGTCGATGCGGCAGGGGAGAGAGCCAGACGACGGCTTCGTCAAGGTTAGATATCTCATCGACGAGGAGGGCAATGGGGTGGGCAGCCTGGGGAGCAGGGCGGGGTGGCCCCACAGAGCAGAGAAGGGCTAAGGACGGCTGGGGGGAACGGCACGACCGTCGATGCGGCAGGGGAGAGGGGGACTGCCCGATGGCAGGGTGCGCAGAGGAGTGTGGCCAGGAGTATGTGATTTGGTAGGAGTCTGGGCATGGCAGGCGCGTTGACGATAGCGCTGGGCCCGTCTCATGATGCAGGGCCCACAAGAAACAGCTCACCGCGCGAAATCCATGCGAAGGGTGGGGTCAGCAGCTTCTGGGAGCCTCGGCAGCGAAGGCGGTTCAAGCTCGAATTTTCCCTGCGTGTCCAGAGCTAGAGCCGACGTCGTGTACTCACGGTTGGAGCTTGCGGTAAGGTGGGGAGGAACAGCGGCGCCCCCCCCTTTGCCCAAAGGCCAGTGACTCTTTCCACATCTTTGCCTCCTTCTGCAGTGGTGCTGACAGCTCTTGCGCTTCTCCTTCCAGGCTTGCTGCCGTTGCAAGTGCACGTCCGTGTTATATCATACGAACAGGTGGTTGCTCTGTGTGTTGGGGCGCTTCTGGCCGACCCTTCACGTCTGCGTTGCGAGGGAAGAGAAAGAGGTAAAGAGTGTGAGTGAGTGTGTGTGTGTGTTTGTTGCAGGCACACCTCCCATTATTGCACTTTACAATGTGGGACGTCTTCTACACTGTGCCTTCGACAACGCTCGATCGCAATTCGCACTTCCATCTGCTGCCTGCGCTTAAGGCCCCTCTGCGCCGCTGAATGAGCAATTGTGTCTTGCAGGTGTCCCGTGTGTGGTGCGTTTGAGCCGCCGACTGCAAATCATCGGCGCGCCAGAGGAAAGAATGTGGGCTTGGAAGAAGGCCAACATTAGACAGCGAGCGCGCGCGTGTGTGTGTGTGTGTGTGTGTGTGTGTGTGTGTGCGCGTGTGTGTGTGTGTGTGTGTGTGTGTGTGTGTGTGTGTGTGTGTGTGTGTGCGTGGCGTGCGTGCGTGCGTGCGTGCGTGCGTGCGTGCGTGCGTGCGTGCGTGTGTGTGTGTGTGTGTGTGTGTGAGTGTGCGTGTCTATTGCAGAGGCCTCCGGCCGGTGCCGCCGATCCGGGACGATCCCGCTCTCAGAAGGACGCTTTCGCCCCAGCGCGCTTGTCTAAACGTAAGTGGTTTGGACACAGCATGGAGGAATTGCGTGGGCTTCTTGAGGGGCCTCTACGACGCATCTTCGAGGCCTCCTGGGGGGGCGTCTTGGAGGTGATTGTTGAGCCTCTTGGGGGCCTCTTTGGTTTCTTGGGGGGCATGCAGGAGGCATTCTGGAAGCCCCCTGGGGGAGTGTAGGAGGTAATTGTTAAGCCTTAGGGAGTGCTTTTAGGCGCCTTTTGGGGGCCTCTTGAGGGCCACCTGGAGCCTCTCGGGTTTTTTTGGGGACTCAGAGGGCCATTTTGGTGCCTCCTGGGCGCTTCTTGGGCCCGTCCTGGGGCCCGCTTGGGCTGTCTTGGGGGCTTCCCGGGCCGTCTTGGGCCCTTCTTGGGCCGATTTGGGGCCCTCTTGAGAGCCTCTGGGCCTGTTTTGGGGGTCTCTTGGGCAGTGTTGGACACTGCGGAGGCCGAAGCAGCGAACATACAAAAAATGCAAGTTTTCCTAAGGGAAGTGGACCGATTTTCCGTCTTTGTGTGTGTGTGTGTGTGTGTGAATGTGAATGTGTGTGTGTGTGTGTGTGTGTGTGTGTGTGTGTGTGTGCGTGTGCGTGTGCGTGTGTGTGTGTGTGTGTGTGTGTGTGTGTGTGTGTAGTGCGCGTGTCTATTTTCAACGCCCCCAACCAATGCTTTTGTTTGATCGGTGTGCAATCTGTGTGGTGCAATCTGTGTGTGGTGCAATCATTATGTTGCGGAATATGCGTGCAAAGATGTACGCGCATGCGTTGTGGAACCTACGCGATGCCAGGTGCAATGTGCATGGTGCAACATATGAGGTTCAAAGGACTGGGTGCAGCATCTGAAGTGGAATTTGTGCGGTGAAGCTGTGTCGTGAAGGCTGTGTGCTGCAATCCGTGGTGCAAGGTATGTGGCGCCGTCCATGTGGTGCACGCTATGTGGTGCAATCGGTGTGCGCGTTCGGAAACGCCTGTCCGCGCGCGAGGCTAGACACGAGGCGGACACGGGCGTGTACCAGGCGAAAACCCTGAAGCGCCAGCCAGCGCACAGGGCGGGCATTGGCTGGCACGGGCGGGCACCAGGCGAAATCCCAGAAATGCAGGTCAGCGGGAACTACACGAGGCGGGCATTGGCGGCCAGCCCTCGAACATCCAGAAACTCTGGCCAATTACAGAAACGAAAGCAAGAACCCCTAATGCAAATGCTTACACATAGATACACGTGTGTTTATCCATGTGCACATATACAAAGACAGACAGAGACATACAGAGAGAGAGAGAGAGAGAAAAACAAAAAACGTGAGAGAGTGAGTGAGAGAGAGAGAGAGAGAGAGTGATCCACAGAGGGCGCGCTCGCGCACGGGTCAGCAACCTGCTCTCCTCGGTCTCTGCTGCCCCAGCCCCAATGGTATGTAGTGACGGCTGGGCATTGGGAGGCAGCCGGCTCCATCTTCGCCGAGACCTATGGCAGATCTGGGCGCGTGCGCGACAGGAAGCTCCTCCCGTGTCTGGGCTCGTCGGCGGATTGCGGGTCGCAGTGTGGGGGGTCTGCGGGGTGTAGTACGATTGTCGCTCCCCCAGTGCAGGCACGCTCCTTCAGCGCGTTTTTGTCATTGCGCTTGATGTGTTTAGGAGGGAGGCGGGGGCGGAGGCGAAGGCGGAGGCGAAGGCAGAGGCGGAGAGAGGGAGGGGGGAAGGGGAGAAAGGGAGGGAGGGCAACCACCTGGCGCAAGAGGGCGTCAAGCAACTTCCCCCGAAGGAGGTAAGGATGGATGGATGGACGGAGGGAGGAAGGGAGGGAGGGAGGAGGAGGATCAGGAGTGGAGGAGCGAGCGACGGAGTGAGGGAGGGAGTGAGGGAGTGAGGGAGTGAGGGATGCAGGGGAGAGGCTCCAGTTGGGTATCCAGGTTCCAGTCTGGTCGGATTCGCGCCCGACTCTGGCCTGAATGTGGGCAGTTTGTGATCAGCCTCGCTGTCATCCCTACTCACCAGCCGGATCCCGACCCCCACGCCCACTCCCCTGGCGATTCAGAGCCGAGTCGGGAAACCAGCGGCCCTCCCTCTGACCATGTGGGCCTAGGGGGTTCGGGGCGGGGTTTCCCAATCCGTTCTCAGCTGCCTGGGAGCGGGGGTGGGGGTCCGATCGGCCACCCGCTGCCAATCCCGAAGTGAAAAGCAAGCCTGATCCGACGTCGACAGCGGGGACCTCGAGATCGGGGTCGGATGCTAAAGCGATCGAGCCGCAGCGAGCGCCGATGTGATCGGGGAGGGCCAGAACCCTTCATCGAGTCGCTGCCTGGGCATGGCCCTCCGCCGAAACCCGAGGGCCCCCCCCCGCGGCAGGAGCTGGGGAGTGCTGCACCGGAAGCCTTTCGTATTCGAGTGGTGGGGGGAGCACCCAGGCGCCTCGGTGCCCGCGCTCATGCCCGGCCGCCCTCCTTCGCCGCCCTCATCCTCCTTCTTCTTCTCCTGCTCCTCCTCCTCCTCCTCCTCCTCCTCCTTCGCCTCCTCCCTCTCCTTCTCCTCCTCCCCCTCCCCTCCTCCTCCTCCTCCTCCTCCTCCTCCTCCTCCTCCTCCTCCTCTTCCTCTCTTGCTCTCCCTCCTCCTCTCCTCCTCTCTCCTCCGTTCCTCCTCCTCCTCTCTCCTCCTCCTCCTCCTCCTCCTCTCTTTTTTTTTTTCCTCCTCCTCCTCCTCCTCCTCCTCCTCCTCCTCCTCCTCCTCCTCCTCCTCCTTCTTCCCCTCCTCCTGCTGCTGCTGCTCCTCCTCCTCCTCCTCCAGCCCCCCCGTGCCCAGGAGTTCCTGCGAGAGGGGCGGGCGTACCAGCGGCCGTGGCACGCTTCCGCTACGGCATGTGTCCCACTCCCCACAGCATTTTTCAGTATTTATTCCATCTTTTCATGCTGACTGTGCTTCTCGCTGCGCTTGTTCGAGGGATGTTCAGCTACATCCACTGGAGTGGGTAGTGCGCAGTGTCGTCAGACAGACATCATTACGATTTCACATTCATGGGAGCTCGCAGCTGCCGATAGGGTCCCCACGTACACACATCTTCGGTGTCATTTCGCGATTCGCTGCGGCTTCCGCCCGAGTCGCTTCGTGAACAAGACTTGCGGGACCTTGCTAGTGCTGCGCAAGAGGACCTTCGAGGAGAGGGACGTCTATGACGTCCCTGCGGCGCCCATTCAGCTGCAAGGGAGCGTTGCCCTGTTCCGCTTGAGGTCGGGGCGCTTCGACCTGCTGCTGCCTGTCATGTACTTGCCCCCTCGGCCCAGTGGTGGCCATGAAGCTCGGGAGGCGGTGGGGCCCGACCAGACAGGGCAAGCCCACTACCAGCCCACGGTGGACGCTATGTGCCAGTGGTTCCAGCAGGTGGCCACGTGGTGCCAGAAGAAGCCGACCATGATCACAGGGTTCGATCTCAACGACTCCTTCGGCTGGCGCCGACGTCGAGGCGGCGCTCAGGAGCAGGTTCAGCCACCAGCACTGGGCGCGCACGCTACTGGAGAGCAGCACCGCGCCGCAGATCAGCTTCTGGTGATCTTCGAGAAGCATTTCATTACGGTCACCTCCACATGGTTCCGACACGGGGACACGTTCTACAGCCACGCGGGCTCGAGCCGCATCGACTACGTCGCCACGTTCGCCGGGGCGCTGGAATCCACGGTGCAC